CTGGAAAGTAGACCATTAAAAGCAGACTGCTTTTAATGAAGTGTAAATATTAAAATCTTGGCATGGAGAGTCTTTTTGGGTCCTGCTACCCCTACTACCTCTGCCCTCTCCAGCCTTTGGCTCCAACTGCAAGCTGAGTTTGAATTTCTTCTCCTGATTCATTTGAGAAGCCCTTGTAGAACATCCTATTTGGGACAGTAAACTTAAAACTCATTTTCTTTGATTATATCATTCCAACAAAAGCAGAATAATTTAAGAAATTGTGTTTTTCTCTCAGGACTTGGGCTAAAGTCTGATGAGCTCCCCAGTCAGATGAGCATGGCTGATTGGCCAGAAATGAAGAAGAAATTTGCAGATATATTTGCAAAGAAGACCAAGGCAGAGTGGTGTCAGATCTTTGATGGCACAGATGCGTGTGTGACTCCGGTTCTGACTTTTGAAGAGGCTGCCCATCATGGTCATAACAAAGAACGGGGCTCATTTATTACTGATGGGGAGCAGGGTTTGAGCCCCCGCCCTGCACCTCTGCTGTCGAACACCCCAGCCATCCCTTCTTCCAAAAGGGATCCCTTTGTAGGAGAACACACTGAAGAGATACTTAGAGAATTTGGATTCAGCCAGGAAGAGATTAATCAGCTGAAGTCAGATAAAATTATTGAAAGTAATAAACTGAAAGCTAATTTCTAAGTTCAGGCACCTCAGCGTGTTACTGTAGGCAGAACAGGGCTGTGGGGAGAGCGGGGAGGAAGTGCAGGGAGACAAAGGAGGAAGGACATGAGATCATCCTTAAAAAAAGGTGTAATTAGCTACCAGACCAGCCAGAACTAGATTTCAGTGGCCTGAGAACAGATCCAGGATGCCATCTTGCCCCTCAAGGTGAACTTTAGTTCATTATAATAGATCATAGTATTATTAGCATTGTGGTTTAGCAAAATCTCCACCCCCTTATACCGCCATGACAGTTCTGACTGGAGCCACATAAGGACAAAAATCCCTCCTCCAGATGGGAAGGAGTGGTCAATGAGGACCTGCCTAGAAACACCTATAATGCCACCCCTAAAACCTGAATATTTCATGCTCTCATTTTAGAAGTAAAAAATTCCTAAGCCTCTTTGATCTTCTGTGCAGTTGCTCTTCTCCAGGCCTGCCCGCTCTCCATTCTTGAGAGTGCACTGTCCGACTTGAATAAATTCACTGTTTGCTTGGCTCATTCGTTGTGTCTTTGTATTCTTTCCTGCGGTGATGCCAAGAACCCGTTTTCTGGCAACAAGCTCAAGTGAATTTGAATATTGCATTTATAATATAGACTAATACATTAAAAGTATGCATGAAAATGTGAAAGAACAGTATCACAGTGGTCGTGGTCCAACTATTCTAATCAAGAAACAAGACCCTGATTACACAAGGATCGAATTCTGAAAATGGTTAACATGGCTTTGATTTAGGAATGTTTTTAGTTTATACTAAGTTGCGAGTTTTTTCTGCTTTCCAATTTACTTGATTGATTATATTTGTTGATATTAAGACACTTAAATATTTATAATGTACTTTAAAAGAATTAATATAATGCTTTTTATTAAATAAAGCCCCCTTCTCCTAAAGTTTACTTGTACTTTGAGGCCTGAAAAGCTTTCAAGACAGTCCTTTAAAAATAAAAAAACTAAAAAATAAAAATAACAAAAAAGAAAGTC